TAAATATTCTCTAAAAAGTTTCTTTAAAATAATTAAAAAAAAAAGCATGTTGTAATAAATAAAAAAAAATAGGAAAATTTTTAAATTGGGTTCACTTATTAATTTTTTTAAAAATTTAAATTTTTATTAAAAAAATTCAAACCAACAATTTTTTTTTTTTATTATAAGAAAGTCAAAAGACGCTCATGACATCGTTCGTGAGAAGTTACTAGAAATCATCGGGCACCCATAATACAGTCTATTTTTTTAATTTGAAAAAATTAATGCAATTTCTTAAAGTCATACAATAAATTGACTAGATAAAATATGATCATGATTGGCTAATTGATCACATTATGCAAGGGACCCACTTACTAAATGTTCTAGAGAAATTGGTTTGTGAATGTGATGGTGTCTATTGGGAACAATGGACTCTCATATATATATATATATATATATATAATTTAAATGAATTTTTATGTGGTATTTTCAGAAAAAATAAATTTATATTTTTAATAAATATATATATATATAATTAGTAATAATTATAAGAAAAACCAAAATACAAAACTTTCCAAATAATATTGTAAGCAAATTTTAAATTGGTGAAAGGGCAAAAAGTTGGTGAGAGCTGAAATAAAAATATTACAATAATATATACACCTTTTAAACAATGAAGATGATGATGGCAATTTTGTAATTTTCTTCTCCAGAGCGCTGACTAGGAGGGGGGGGGGGGGGGGGCTTTTTATTTTTATTAGTTTATTTAATTTTTTAAATATATATATTGAACTTAAATATGTCATTACAGCATCATAAATGTGAAGCATTATCATACATTATCCAATAATATTAAAAAGATACATAGATATATATAATATTAGTTTTGTAATACATAATATCAACCTCTTATATTAAAAGATAAAAGATACATATATATATAATATTAGTTTTCTAATAGATATTATCTGCTTATTTTTTATTTATTTATTGAAGTAAATAATCAAAAACAAAAATAATTAAAATATCGTACATTTTTTAGTAGGTAGAATCTCTAAAGTACACGAGGTGTGTTCTTAACAGAAGAGAAAAGAAAGCTTATCATTATTCTTTTTTTACAGTAAAAGATTCATTATGTGGGATTTGATTGATTTTCTTCTTTTGATCGTTTCTAATTGATATTATTTCTATTTTATTTAAGATCTTGTGGTTTTGACTTACTAGAATTTAATTTGTTTTGATTAA